GGTTCGGGTGCGCTCCATAATATCTGTATCATGCTTCGAATTCTTCATGAGACGCGTTCTGATCTCCACATCCTCCGGTGACTGAAGTCCCTAGACAAAAATGAGACACTTGAACTGGTTTTCTGTCATCCCCCGCCATTTGGAGCTTTGGCACTACCGATTCCTCATGCTGAAATACGTGGCAAAATCAACGGAGTCGCTTTTCAATACCTTCATGAACCGAGGTATTGTATTGAATAATGATAACTTCAGGCCAAANATTTATCGGTTAACAACTGCACCGCGTCGTGAAATAAAAAATCTCAGGTGCTTCTAGGTAAAATACTGTATGCATATTTCTCGTTCTCCGTGGTACCTAGTTTACGTAGAAGTTTCAAGACCAAAGGAAGACCTACGATGGATAAACGGGACCCAGTGTTTCAAATTACGTAAAAGTATTCGTACCTTCCATGCATCTTCACTGGCGGCAAATTCCACGCGGAACGTATCCTAGCATCAGCTGAACCATGATCCGCAGCTGACTTCTGCTTCTGGACTGTAATAGGATTCCGTTATACTGGTCAGAAATAAGTCACCAGAACTGCATTTAGGGGAAATACTAACTAGATCAAACGGCTGCAAACTGAACTGTAACAGCATCGTGGCTATCAGAATTAAATAGGCCGCCTCAAATTTCGCCTGGATTAGCAGATTAATTGTCGAAATTGACATAATTGGATTCGATAGAAGTTAACCCCATCACTAAATTGTGTTCGCGTCAGTTACCCCCAATCACGGGAGTGTTGCAGTGATATCTCATGTATCAGTTAACAGTTGATTGTATCACGAGTATAAGGAACGTTCAACGTTCCATATACTCGTTCCATAAACTCCATGTACTTGAATACCTAACACAACCTTGCAAGTTAATTATTCTTGTCTTCATTGTCCCCTCCCGATTACATCACACGTAATGCATGAAATATAGTTTCCAGTGTATCTTACTTCATCCCGCTCTCGTTTTATCTCATAACTTTCATCAACATTTTAGTTTATCTATCGCTCTTTCATTTGACCTTTGTCCACTCGCTACCTGTATGACTCTAGCACTGACTACCGCTTTCAACGTTTGATTGCTCTGCTTGTTGGCCTCTGTCGTCGTTATAACATGAACTGTAGTCAGGCAACCAGATATTATGATTCTTATATATATCAAAACGTTTTGCATCATACATCACAAAGAAATTTCTTCCTTTCTACTTAGAATAAAGTTCGAGATTGATTCTTCTTGATGACGCTGCCCCAATAATATTTTGATAAATATAATTATCAATATTTCAACATGTCAAACTTATAACAAAACAATGCTTGTGTTTGAACCAGCTGACACATTGCAACAGATTTGAACAAATCGTTAGAGAATGTAACAATCGAGATAACCACTGTTCACGGAAGTTGTGTCTGTGTGCGATGAGCAAATGTTCTCTCGAAAGAGGTAGCACTTTATCACATTCTGTCACTGCATCCACATCTCAGTTATGTTTTCCGTTGAGTACAGATGAAATGAGTAAATCTTCAGAGTAGTCTACCACAATTCAGGATTTATGTTTTGTGACAAATGAGGTGGTTCTTGAGATGCTTTTTCACAGACTCAAGATAAACAGTTTTACCCAGACTCATGGAAGTGGCTTCATAACGAACCACTTCAGAAAGCATCATTCTACCCTCCTAATTGATTCTTAGGAACTGTTCCTCGGATTGCTTACACATGGCAGATGTTATCAAATTTCTGTCAACCAGTTACAGTTACAATCTGTTGAACAAAACACGGAGCCACACATTTCAAGAGCACAGCTGAATTATGCACCGGAATAAACAAACAATACAAACTTTTTTGCGCGGAGATACTCATTCCATGGAGTTCACGGTATAGTCCAAACCCAAGAGTTAATTGCAGAACTGAGGAGTGATACACTCAGACGAAATGTGAACCATTATTCTAATCCATCATCAAACTCATCATTTACCCGTCAACATTTAGCTGAAAAGCCAACCACGCGAACAGTATGTCTAAGTGGTCTCCATAATTTAATGTCTGAATCCCAACAAACAGTTCAGTTTTCAAAATGGTAACTCAGATTTTGCCCCGCCAATGAAGAACAGCCTTTATACCGGGAGCAGCAGATGTTATTCCGTCCTATGTTTTCCGAGGAATCGGTTGGCACAACGCTGATTTTGGTATCCAGTCAACCCATCTTTATAAGCAATACTATAAATTAGTAGCTTTTTATTTAGAAAATCACTTTATTATATATTTGGATTATTAGTATGCCGTTTAGGAGTTGTCGAATGTTTGCACTCAAACAGTACAAATGATAAAATTAGGCTGTAAAATTTATAAACAGGTCAAGTGTTTCTGTTTTCTAACATGTACCTCTTCTCAACTTTTATCGTATGCAAAAAATACGCTTATCACTAAATCCTCGATTTATTCAAACTATCACGAGATAGATGACTGCGTGGCACTCAGATCAGGTACATGCTTCCTGCACTGTGCGTCCATGTGGGAACCGTACCACATGAACCGGTCATATTCATCACAACTGTCCGGTTGGACTTTCTTGTATCCATTCTCCGAAAGATATGTACATGCATCGGTTCAATGGAGCGTGGCCACGCGGTTTTATCACGGTGTGTGCAATAATCACTCCGCCCCTCTCCATCCGGCTTCACACCGCCCGCATAGAGCAGAAACAAGTTTCAACAATGGACCAGG